AATGTACTTAAGTGCAATTTTGAGGTTTCCATTTTATGCTACTTTATACTTCTACTCCACTACATTTATTAAACAGTAAATCAGAACCTTTTTTTGTCTACAACAGTTAAATGCTACTTGATGCAACAATATTATCAAAACATGTCATATATATATATATATATATATATATACTTACCTTATATATATATATATATATATATACACATACATATACATATATATATATATATACTTACCTTATATATATATATATATATATATACATACATATACATATATGTATGTATATATATATATTATATATATATATATATATATATATATATATATATAATATATATACATACATATACATATATGTATGTATATATATACATACATATACATATATGTATGTTATATATATACATACATATACATATATGTATGTATATAGATACATATACATATATGTATGTATATATATACATACATATACATATATGTATGTATATATATACATACATATACATATATGTATGTATATATATACATACATATATGTATGTATATATATACATACATATACATATATGTATGTATATATATACATACATATACATATATGTATGTATGTATATATACGCAGGTACGCATGCGCGGCAACAATCTGAAATGCGTACCGTCACTTGTGTCACAAAGCGCATTTGCGTACCGACGTAAATGTGAAGCTTTTCCAGAAGGCGGTTAGTTCACCGGACGACAGAGTCGGTCTCCGTGTGCACAGACAGGGCTGCTGTTAACGTCGGTCTGTACAGCAGCCCTACGCTAAAACAGCGTTCGCGGTCACGAAGCTCTGTACTCTACTACCACCCCCCCCCCGTTGTCAATCGCGAAGCGCTGTACTCCAAGTAATACTTGGATAATACTTCTGTACTTTTACTTAAGTCAGATTTTGAAAGCAGGACTTTTACCTGTAATGAAGTATTTTGACAATAATGTATTGGTACTTTTACTCAAGTAAAGCATCTGAATACGTCTTCCACCACTGGTGCTTGACCAGACCAAATGCATCAGGCTGGATTGTCACAGGGCTATAAATCTGAAGTAGTAACCCCCCCCCCCCCCCGTCCTGCAGGTGGCGCCAGCAGAGGGCTTCTCAGACCTGGCGGTGCAGGTGATGATCTCGCCCTCCAAGAACTACATCCTGCTGATGATCTCTCTGAGCGTGTGCATCCTCTTCCTGGTGGGGCTGCTGTGCGGCCGCATCACCAAGAGAGTGACCAGAGAGCTGAAGGACCGGTAGAGAGGGAGAGCGCCCACAAAAGACTGACTCCTCGCACCTTCCTCCTCCTCTTCCTCTTCCTCGTCCTTACGCAGATTCCCGGTCTTTAACCAGCCACCCTGCACAGTGCCAACACCATTTCCACATCTGGAACCGCTCCGTTTATTTGCTGCTGCTGAACATTTGAATCAAATGCAAACAAAATCCCTGAAAATTCTCCGTTCTGGCCATCTCCAAACTGAGCGTCAGATTGGAGCGCTGATGTTATATTTCCTCCCCCAATATATCTGCTTTGTGGAGGGTGTTGTTCGGGGTCGGATGTGAGGCATCTTTTGAGTTCCTAAAGGAGCACGGATCATGATTTGACTGAAGGCTGCTGCTTCTGAGGTTTGGATTGCTTTCCAATCGTTGCTTTCTTGTGATATTTAACTCAGAGACTGGAGCATGTCGAGCAACAGGACGTTGTTACTTTCAAAGTGGCTGCTGGAATCGCACACTCAGCAACTGAACTTTGAATTCTTTCAGACGTCCCTGTTGCTTTCAGACTTTCCCCCCATCAATCGTGAAGTCCCGTCCTCTTCACTCCCTTACAGGATCCCGTCTGACTCGCCGGGTACGGCTCCTTACGTTGAGTTGTGGATCTTTCTGGATATTCTCATCATGACCTGCGTCGTCCCATGTCCTCTGTTGCCTTTAATGAACACAATCTGTTACACAACACTCGGAGGCTTCATCTTCTGCAGTTTGTACCATGAGCAACATGCCTGAGCACAAACATTAGCAGTTTGTGCAGTTTTGTAAGGAAGTAAGTTATTGCTGATATGGCAAATAAACAGCTGGCACACATACCTTTTTTTTTTAATTCTGCTTCAATAACACGCTAAAGGTCAGACTAATAAACCTGGACCCTCTAAATGTGACTGGGAAAACATCGTCTGAAATTGGCATATACAAGTCAAAGGTAATCATTTAGGGTTTGAACTGCAACTGCACACAGAAGGGAAAAAGATAATACCAATTTTCTTTAAAATAGCCACCGAAACCCATCTAGACACCTTATATTAACTCATCTCATTTTTTGATCCATACAAAATGTAATGTCATAAATCAAAAAACGTAATGATTTGATCACGAGGTAATAGCACTTTCTTTTTTGGACGACAACTGCTGAGAGATCCTGAAGTGTTACTGGGGCATCAAGAAATAGCTTTTCTATTTCTGGTCGTATATGTAAATTATTGGTAGGCGTACTTTTTTGTATTACTTTGGACAGAGACAGGCTAGCTGTTTCATCCTGCTTCCAGATTTTACGCTAAGCTAACTGCTTGAGCTCTTATCCCAACGGCTTGTTGCTGCCCCCTGGTGGCCAAAAACTGAACATCAGCAGCTTTAAGTGGTCTTGATGCAGAGCTATGGGCCAGGGGGCAGCAGTCAGAGGGGTTTTACCTCAAAACATTCATTACATGTTACTTTTTAGACGCTTTTATCCAAAGCGACTTACATACTCAATACTGTGGGCAATCCCCACATGAGCAATTTGGGGTGAAGTGTCTTCAGGGACACAACGACATGCTGACTGCAGTGGGGTTTGAACCTGTGACCCCCTGATCCCAACACCTACGCACAACCCACTGTGCCACACGCAGCCCATTCAGATTGTGTGTTTAGTTGAAAGTCCCAATGATTGGTGTGTAACGTAGACTTTACATTCAGAGGGAAAATATATTCAGTTTCCAATCATTAGAGAAACATTTATCAAATGAAAGAAAGAAAGTTACAAAGCATGTTGGCTTTATGCTGACGTTATAACGAATGATTCAATGTTTAAACCCGGATGGAAAACCCCCGCTAGGTCATTGACAGACTCTTGAGCCATACACATGCTTTTGTTTGGCAGGCCAATGGAACTTAAGAGATTCAAGCAGTGTTTGGATTTCATTTTGTTCTGATTGTTTAATATTTAGTTTTGCACTTTAACTTGATGCAGGTCTGCAGGGCGCTGACATCACTGGAAATTGCACCTCATTCATTTGTAAAAATAAATAGAAATGTATCCTCTCTCTGTTTGGCAAATGCTTTGCAGCTTTTAGTTTATATTCCTATTTGTGAATGATCTAAAAGCAGGAGGTTGGCAGCATTTACTAAATACTTTCTGCTCCTCATTTACAAAGGTTAATGAACTGAAGTTGTAGATTATTTGAGGGGGGGGGGGGGGGTCCTCTTCCTGATGGCGGGCTGACGGTCAGACGGAACACAGCTCGCTGCTCAGAGCTTTTATAAACCATCTCTATGGCGACCATCAGAACCAGTTTTGTACGTCTCTATGTGAACAAACTTTATCGGTGTGCAGTTTTTCTTTTGACATGATGCCATGTAATATGAACCGTAACAGATTTATCATTGTGAAGTTTGATTTTGCTGTACAGATACAAATTTGTCAATTTAATAAAAATGTCTGCAGATTTTCTATCTTTGGCTCAACCCGATTTATTTTCAATTGTCTCGAGTTTATCCACATTTTTTTCATCCTGTTGTATTCAAAAGAAAACATGTCACTAGTGTTGAGATGAATATTTACTAAAGTACTGTAGTAATAATCAAAAAATAAATGATACAATCATTTAGATAGTTATAAAACATTATCCCCAAAGATGTACAAATAAAGGCATGAATAATTATAGTTTCATAATATAATATACATTGTTCTTATATTGTGCACAATGAGAACTTTATTTACTTTGATACTTTGTTTGCTGATATCGTAATTTAAGTGAAAAAGCTGGAATTTTAATTCATATTTTTCTGCAGTTGGGATAATTGTTGTTCAAGTTAAAGAGAAGTTCCTAGAAGTCTGCTCACAGATAACTTTGAAATGGGTTTGAAAATGAAAGATCCCTCATTATATATGGAACTGAGTGCAGGCTGAACCAGCAGATGGCTCATGTCATTTACAGCAGGTTCTTCTGGAGCAGGTGCCACTCTTTAAAAGGTGACCCTATAGAAAGGTCCCAGGTGACAATAGTATTGCTTTCTTTAAGACCTTTTCATGGGGAATGTCATACCTGTTTTCAAATATGTATAATTAATAAATTGATTTAAAAAATGCCGAGCTGCAGCCTATTTACATCAGGTAGAACATCTTGAATTTAAACAATTATGTGCCAATATAGGTTAAAACATTTGCATTTTTTATATATTTGTAATTCAAGGTTTAATCCTTAGTTTTTCCAGAGCTTTTCACCATATCCTCCAGTCTGCTTCAGTGAATGAAAGTTGCTCTCCTCCCAGCTGCATATACGACCCATTGTTTCCACACTCATCATCATTATACTGACAAAGCGAATGCGCCAGAAAAAGACTCTGAATATTTAACCTCAAGCAAAGTATTTGGTTCACAGCATGCACTGCAACAACATACCACCTGCTAAGCTAAAGACTATGCTGTCGAGAAAAAAAACCTTTTAGGTAAATGTTGGATTATTTCAGCAACTATAGTGCCACACTTTGTTCTCAAATACAACCATGAAACACATTTGACAATATACATTTAAAACTGAACCATACAAGTGCTCTAACTGTGAGTCATGTGGCATGTTCTATGGAGCAAAAATCTATGGGAATTGAGAACCAGTAGCCAATAAAATACCCTTAGATATCTCCTCCCAGTTCCCCACTCTTTAATATTTGCAGGATACTTGAATAACAGTTTGAAAGAATTTGAGGACAAAAGAAAGTCTGTAAAACCTCCAACTCCAGAAAGCGCTTTATTGTTGCTTCCCACGTAATGTTATGTACATGTTATCATTTTGTAAAGAAAAAGGAAAAAAGGAGCAGCACATTAGCATTAATGATCTCTATTACCTCTCTTATTATTCAGACGTCTACATTGATTAGCTGTAGCGACGCTCACACCAGCAGGACAGAGGAAGCCCCCTCACACACAAACCACAAACTTAAACATGAAAAAAAAAAAAACGGACAGAATATGATCAATTATTTAAGGTGTTTGTGTTGCGTGTGTTTCATGATCGAAGCACGGCAAAACAAACCACCTTCCACAGGTCAAAGGGCCCAAAGCTAACAGTCAACTTCCCACCTTAGTCAGCCTAAAATTGAAAATGATTGCTAAATTAAAAAGGACAATAAATTAGAAAGTAAATAAGTTGACTGTAAAAATGCTATTCTTAAAAAGAAACAAGTAGCAACAGTTTACACCGTCCCAAGATCTTAATACAAACATACAGCTATCACATAAAAAAAAAGGAAAGAAAGTGAATTCAGTGTCACACCTAAAAAACTCCAAATGAACCAAAGCATGCCGATGTCGGGCTAAATGAACCAATCAGAAGGTAAAACATGTTAAAGTCCTGACACAGATTCCACTGGGATCAGAATAGGGGTCAGGATCAGGCGGCTGTAGTTCCTCGGTCAGACAGCAGGGGGGGCTGTAACATTTCTGGCCTCACTGCTAAGGCACTGGCAGTCTTTATATCTCTTTAATCCAAGCAGGAACCACCAAAACTGAGCGAAGAGGAAGTTGAAGGTGCCACCAGCTGCAGTTCCTCTAGCGGACACTAGGGGCTAACAAAGTGCGCCAACATCTACTGAAAATTGCTTTAAAATGTTTCCCCCAACAACGACGATTACTTTATTTAATGATGAAAATAGTGGTGTTTAAAAAATGTGTTTCACATGTTGGGAAATAAGCTTATTCACTTGCCTAGAGTTAGATTTGAAGATAGATATAGCTAACACAAGAGGTCAGCAACTGCTGGTTAGCTTAGCTTAGCATACAGACTTAAAACAATAGGGAAGACTAGCCTAGTTCTGAATAAAGGTAACCCAATCAAAGCCTAGCTCTCCTGTTGTTAGCCGTGCACATCAGAGTTTTAGGAATTTTCATTGATATCGTTTGTGCGAATACAATTGGGCTTTTACTTCCAAAGATAGTCTTCAGAACCTGAAGGCTTTCTCAGTCTTTATGCTAAGCTATCATGCTGCTGACTTTTGAGTTGCTTCTATCCTGTGATCTAACTGCATAAAACATTTTTATTTATTTTTTAAATCCCAAAATGTGAAATTATTTCTTCCACAAAAAAGCAGAACGGAAACTGATTGACATGTGTTTCAGCCAATCACAGTCAGCCGTGGTGGTGACTCTTACCGCTGCGGCACCCAGGCTGTCTCCTCTTGGATTCAATGTGGATTTTCTAACTCTTGCAACTAAAAATGATGGCAGCAAGCAGAAAAAAATCCAGAGTTTGTTCACTTGCGTCCATGTTTCTCTACAGAGCGTTGGCAGGCCTCCATTGATTTCTCTTTGCCTGTAAAGCTTCTTTCAAAAAAACAATGTCATTCACCTCAGGTTGAGTAAACAGCCTTTCACAATAAGTGGACTTTTTTCCAACTGGCTGATAAAAAAAAGAAAAAAAAGTTGTTTTATCAGTCAGTCACCAGAAAACTGTCTGGTTTCACCGTCTCCATGTCAGCACTACTAGCTTGTGATTGGTCCTGGCATCTTGAGTGTGGTGCCATTGGCTGGGCGGGCCATCAGGAGTTCTGGACGTAGTTGGCGGGGTAGAGGCCCACCTGGCCGCTGCTCAGCCGCCCTTTACACCAGCCCTGCTCGTCCTCCTCCCCCATCTTCAGCAACTCCTCGCCTGGAGGGAACATGAGGGTAAGAAAGTTTAGATCTCAAGCATTGTGTTCAAATATTGAATTCTAAAAATGGGAGAAAGCATTAATTTAAGATAATCAAAAGTAAAGCTGGGGAGGCCATCGGGTTCAGGATAAGCAGAGCTGAGCTTGGGTTTTCAAACTGAACTCACTCTGCGGTCCCATCAGATTTCATTAGCGCGTGTTCCCCAGGAACCCCCCCCTGAGGCAGAGGAAAGACTGGAGTTCCGCAGGGAGTTAACCAACCAAGGCAACATTCAGTTTTTTAACAGCAACATTTTACGTGATGTCCTACGAGGGCAGGAATGTTTTTTATCAATAAATAAGTCAATAAAATCAGAAAAATGTTTCTAGTCAAATGAGGGTTTCAATTATTCCTGTGACTACCATCTGCAATGTGAACCCTTGTTGGAATAGATGTTGGCCTGGGCCAGTTGAAGGGTCCGGACCTCCCCTCAACACACGCAGCAGTATCATTCTAACAGGTTGAGAAGAAGTCGCTGGATTGACCCCAGGATTGTGCTGCTAAACAAACCTTGTACTTTCATAGCTAAAGCCTTCTTGTTACTACCCCCCCCCCCCCCCCGATTCTTTGCTGTAACTATTTTAATGCAGGAGTTTGTGTTTAGACCTACCGCACACGGGTCCTGGCCACATTCCGCTACACTGACCGACCCTTGACCTTCACCAGAGAGTGAGAGGAGTTTTACTCACCTCGTACCCCATTGACTTCAGACACTGTGAGGAAGAGTTTGTGAGGCCATGTGTTTCACCTAGTTCACACACAATTTGATCTTAACATTCATTACCCTAATGATCCCATTCTGAGTCCTTTACTGCTACATTTTAGAACATTATATTTCATGAAACATATCCGACTACAACACCTTCCCTCTTGAATAAGAGCTTTTTCCTTTTTTTGTAAAAAAATGATGTTGAAATCTGTAAAACCTTACAGCAGTTAATATGATCATAACTCTTACAGATGTAGCGTCACATTACGTACAACGCAACACCGTTAAGTTATAAAACAGAACTGGCATCACAGCACGCACACAACTGTGTTTAATATAGGAAGTCCAGATAAACCAACTGTACACCAAGTTAAGGAGTAGACCTGTTGTTTATGAAAAGTGTCTGGACGTAGCTATTACGTCAAATTGACTTGACCCCCTACTACATTACCTGTTCAGCACCAACCAGCATACAGGTGTAATTGACCACTAGCTGGTGAACATAGTGGAGCTCCTATGAAATAAAGAGACTGATCTTTCTCTCAGGACTTGGTGGAGACCAAATATAGAGCTAAAATGACTGAATATAGGACTTTCTATGTTCAAATTATTCTAAAATCAAGATCCAGTTGAATGCTCAAGGTGGCCATACAATGTAAGATTGTAGTATTAACATATAAAGGTTTTTTATTTCTCACTTATAGCAATGTAGTTTGTGTAAAAGACCACCCTTTCTGCTCAAAACTAGCTTGTATGTGTGCGATCAAACAGGCAAAACACCATGGTCTAATACAATACAACTCTTTGGAACTATATGAATCACTGGTTGCCAAAAAGTAAAGCTACTCTTAAAATATAGACAAATTACCAAATTCTTGGAATTGTCCAAGATTCAGAATACACATACAAACTATGTATGCTCTTTTGAAGCACTTCAAGTTAAGATAATCCTTGAAAGTAACATGAAACTTTCAAGTAGCATTCTTAATATTCAGACAGGTGTCAAAACATCCAGCGCATAAGGAAAATAAATCCAATCAGAAGTTTTATTTCCATTAGGAATAAGTATTTAATAAAGCCGAAAAACTAGAGCAGTTATTCCATGAAAATAAAAGCATCAGTCCTCTGACTGTTTGAAAAGCTTCCCATCATGCTTTCATTTCCAGGACAGAGGATGAGAAGCTGCTCACATTAAGCAGCATCACAAGGAACACTTGTGATGCTATTAGCACTTTTACATTAGAAACAATTGTAATAATGATCCAATTGAAGTCACGGAAATAAGTCAGTTTTATATTTTTGACCTGAAGTATAATTTCAGAGTTATACATTTTTTTACAAAAGACAAGACGTTTCTGTGATTCAGAATCAATAATGCCACATTTCACAAACTTAAACTGACATGCAGATTGAGGTAACTGATGTAATGATTTATGGGTGTGTCCTCATTACATGATATTACATAATGTAGCATGATACATCACAGTCTTACTCTGCATACTCATGTCTGAACCAATCGGTTCGTCATGAATGTGTGTGAACTTAAGGTGTTAAGTCGAGGCATCACAGGTGGACAAAAAAACATCTTAAAAAATGTTCAACTAGGACGTATAAATGTTTATGTTTGCAAAGCTGTCATTTCATGAAAATGTGCAAATCAGTTGTGAAGTTGATATAAAGTAATTGCTTTGCTTTCTTAAATGTTAATAATGTATTTAGGCTAAATAGTTCATTTGTAATTAATCTAGGGTGGATACCATTTTGAGAAAACCTACATAAATGCAATCTCCCTTTAAAAGGACTTTAATGATTGCGCTGGTTTAGGACTGTTTCTGATCAAATTGTATTGCATTGAGTGTTACAGCTGAATCCTTTTCATACTTTTAAATCTGTCATCTTCACAACTAAATCATGTTGTTTTGAACACAGGAAGTGTTTTATATGAGCATGGCTTCTTACATTTTAATGAATGTATCTCTTATCTTGTGATTAAGTTGTGATCATGAGATAATAGAACAGTAAAGACCCTGCTACAACATCAAACCAACTACAGTCACACATGTTTCAAGTACTCCACTTTAGTACAATTAGGAAGTACTTGTACTTTACTGGTATTTCCAGTGTTTTGCTACCTTGTACATTTACTTCACTACATTTCAGAGGTAATCATTTTGACCAAACTAAATATATTCTATTAGTAACAGATAATTAACACCTAATGTAATCTACTAATAAATGATGGGGTAATTTGTGGGATTATGCCTGACAGTATATAAAGTCATTAAAAGTAATTAAAACTAGATGCAACATTACAGTTACAATTCTTCATAATGAGTTGTTTTCAGTTTCAGAACTTTAAGTATATTTAGATGTCAATACTTTAATTGCTTTTATTTTTCGTTTTGCACATTTCTTGAAACGACAGCAGTTATTCAACTCAAATGGATCAGATCAAAAGTCAGCAGTCTCCCTGTGATGCCCCCCCCCCCGCTGTAAGCATTAGTTTGTGTTAATACCTGCTTTAAAGCTGAGCTCATCGGCCTCCTGGCCTTCGTAATCATAGATCGCTCGGACTCGCACCGCCTCTACCTGATCCTCCTCCTCCTCCTCCTCCTCCGCCTCCCCCCCCCACGCCGTTCACCGCCAGCTTCTTAGGACTCTCCTCGTCTGACCAGTCTGACGAATAATCTTTCACCCTGAGGAGACAGGAGGTCAGGAGGACACAAAAAACAGTCATACAAATGTCTAGCACATGTCTTACTGGCACCTGAATGCAACAGTACGAGAAACATACAACCATTGTCCAAAAGTGCATATTTTTTTATCAATAAAGGTGTTGATATTCAAAATGTATCCATAGTTGTTAAGCACTGAACATTTCAATTAAATCAGGATTAGGCTCTTGCATTTTGCTGCAGCCAGATTTCCTTCGTTTTTCTCTTAGAACCCCCCCTCCCACCATCTCCCCGAGGCCCGTACATCACAAGTAGCCCTTTAAACTTAATGCACCCCCACTGAGGGGTTGTAAATAAACTAATGGAGGCTCTTTAGCGACGTCACACATTTCCTGGCAACCACAGCTGTCGTCAGCATGGAGTCTGAGGGGTGGAGGTTCAGGCACCACACTGAGTTTATGGGGGGGGGGGGGGGGGGGGACTAGTCTTTGTGTGGAAACCAGTTTGTAAAGACAGAACACCCTTTGGTGTTCCCTTGGTTGCTGATTGGCTAATGGTTACACAAGCCAAAACATCGTTATGACATCATAAAGTGGCCAAAATCAGCTCATTTTCAGACAGGTTTTTATATAAACGGATCAGGACAAAAAGAGAGAGAATCTTTGTTCCTGAAACGTTCAGAATCTCTTTACACAGAGGGGACACATGTTGATGTAGAGAAGACGTGAAAAAGTGGATTTTGCACAATAGGTGACCTTTAACATCAGATGGATCATTCTTAGACAAAGGGAAGGAAGATAATAATGATCATTAACAACTTAAAGTATTCCACAGTTTTTATTAAATATTTAGCCACTTTATCTGCAACTCAGATAGCGTGACATAACAGACAAACTAACTCACAACATTTATGCACAACCCAAAATAAGTATTAGCTTATTGATCACTGAGTTAAATGCCTCAGAGTAGCTTGTATGATAACATCCTCTGATACATGTTACATAGTATTCAAACTACCAGATGGAGCCCATGAGACAATGCTATGACTACACATAAAGTGAGGGGAGGGAGTGAATCTGATATTCAGCTTTCTAGCTACTAACTAGTAGTGGTGGAGTAAGAAGTACAAGTAGCAATAGTTAATTGGAAAATACTCACACTTAAAGTTCTGCATTCAAGATCTTACTTATGTTCAAGTAAAAAAGAGTATTGCTATTTAAATATACTACAAAAGTAAATATCCTATGTGTCCCCTAATGACCACACACACACACACACACACACACACACACACACACACACACACACCACACACACACACACACACACACACACACACACACACACACACACACACACACACACACACACACACACACACACACACACACACACACACACACACACACACACACACACACACACACACACACACACACACACACACACACACACACACACACACACACACACACACACACACACACACACACACACACACACACACACACACACACACACACACACACCACACACACACACACACACACACACACACACACACACACACACACACACACACACACACACACACACACACACAACACACACACACACACACACACACACACACACACACACACACACACACACACACACACACACACACACACACACACACACACACCAGAGGCCTGTACTACGAAGCTGGTTCAACCTAACCTGGATATGTTTGAGTTAGCCGGTTGGCCCAATCCAAAACATACGCACTCTGGCTAAGCTGTACTACGACGCTGGTTATCAAGTGGATCGCTCAAGCCAGCCGTGTCCTATCTAGTTAGGTGCGCGTTCACATGAAAGGGGTGGTATTTGGAGCATTCGACCAATCACAAACATGGACAAGCGTACTGACAGCGCAGCATCATACTTCCTGAATGAAAAGTGAACTTTAATATTAGTCAAATATGAAGAAGTTAAACTTTAAACATCCATGACTTAAACACTTTATCCAGGATAAAAGCCACATAGCTGCACCTGCAAGGTGAATACAGCTGGTAAAAGAAAAAGTGTTTGAATGCGTACATTAACAGGTTTATGAAATCACTGCCCCGTCTAAGACACGAGTGGATCTGACTTTAATTACATTTGACTCGAGTGTTTCGTCAACTTAATGTGTTGCTTAAAATAATACTTCTGCATACAGTATGTGACACTGTAAGTGGCCAGATACGGCTCAAGAAGCTGACTCAGATAAGGAAATATATGATACATTATGATGTGATATGATATGAATGATAATGGGACACATCGACGTCTGCACTCACAGTGCCGCAGACTGTACTTAATGTTACTCTGATCCGGTTACTTATGTTGTGGCAGATATTTAAGTAAGCTTTCTTAACGCTAATGTTATAATAGTCAGATTGCTCTGAAGATGGGAGGGGATATTCTATTAATTTTCACGTTCACACAGTCAGTTGATTTTTGCCGGCCGTCTTTCCTGCAACGGCAGTTTTTCTGTATTTCCTCTATCCTGTAATATGAATTGATAGCTTTAAACTCTGCACACGGAGCTCTGATTGGTCAGCAGGCGGTGCTTTCACTGAGTTGATCTCTTAGCCTGCAACCTAACCTCCTCCCGAGGAGGTTAGCCGCTCAGCATAAGTTACCATGGAGATCTAGCCCGCTAAAAAGAGAACCGGCGTCGTAGGACCGGAAAGCCCGAGTTTTCCCTGAAGTCAGCCGGCTAAGCGAAAATCCGGCTTCGTAGTACAGGCCTCTGGTAGTAATGATGGTTGTTAGTTTTCTGCAGCAGATGTGGAGGTGTCCTCCTACCTGCCGGTGTCCATGGTGATGGGGCTGGGCGGAGCGTCGTTCCCCCCCGATGACACGATGTTGGTGAGGGTGACCACGTTGTCCTCAGAGTGTCCCCCCCGCACCTTCTTACTGATGGAGCGACTCGCCTCCGGAGACCACTCCTGCACACACACAAATCAAATGATCAAATGAAAGCAGGACTTTGTAACTTTATAAAGGAAGAAATAACACATTCTTTCTCTCACAGATGGAAAGTATTCCCTAAAATGAATCAAATACCCTCAGGGTCACTTAATATGAGATAATATAAGATGTACTTTATTGATCCCAAATTGGGAAATGTTTGGCATTGCACAAAAGTAGAAATATACAAATCTAAAATGTAAACATCTCAAAATAGAAATAAAACAGCAAAAGAAAGTAGAAAATATAGAAGTTGACTGTGAAGATAAAAAACATATAAACTATCTGACAAATAAAACACTATTGAAGGCCCAATATACACACAATATAAGCTGAATATTATTTCCATTAAGTGTGTAAGGAATGGAATATTAAATTCACCTGTCTATGGCTACTGTAATCATACATTACAAATATTTTAATATAAACGGATCTTACTGAATCTGTTTGCTGACTGAGCTTCACTTTTACACCTAGTGATGTCTTAATACAAACATAAGAATCTATATTTACTAAATAAGTGCGACTGAGCGAGTTGAGCATATTGAAACTTGAGATAAAAAATGTGCGCTTGGGTCTTGATGAAGCTAGTGCTACTTTATTGCATGGGGACAATAATAAGATTGTAGGCCCCTCCCTATCTCCCTGACCTCCTCCACCGTCACATCCCCACCCGTTGCCTCAGGTCCGGAGATGCAAGCACCCTAAAGACCCCCAGGACTAAGCTCCAGACCTGGGTGACAGGGTCTTCTCTGCTGCCACCATCGCTTTGGAACGCCCCCCCCCCCCCCCCCCTATACACATCAGACAATCAACCACCCTATCATCCTTCAAACAAGCCCTCAAAACCCACCTCTTGCTTCTCCTTGGAACCCCCAACTCCCATGCCATAACTCCGCCAATCTGAATGTTACAATTTATGTTTTTCTTGTACAACTGAGCTTGTTAAATGTGACTTAAAGCGTATTTGTGTGTCTTGAAAAGCGCTATATAAATTAAATGTATTATTAATAAGAAAGAAAAATATTTCCTTCTGAACTTGTTAGGTAGCTAGCTCACAGTTAACTTTTATAAAGTTGTATCGGTGGTTTCAATAAATTGTCTTGAAGATGTATTTCCCATTTAGAAGATGTACAGTTGAATCCCTTGGTAAACTTAATCTAGAATCAAGAAAATAATGATTCACTTGTAAGCATATTATTGGATAATGATAATAAATAAAAAATGACAATCTATTTAGTACAGTGACAACTTAACAGAAACACCTGCTGTTACAAGATAAGTCTCTTATACGAAAAAGTACCTTTGTTTTCTGTCTTTGCGGCGAAATAATGTTCATTTCTATCCTGTAGCAGAATCAATGGAGTCTTTTCGATCGCAGCCAGACAAAAACACACACAGACACACTCTGGCCGTAATGACATGCTGCTGACAGAAGTAGGATACGGTTACCGGTATTTACAGTCTCAGTGGAGCACAGAACAACCTCCAGACTATCAGCTCTACAGGAGGTGTGTGTGTGTGGAACAAAAGTCCTCACAAATATAGAATTAAAAAACACACATGCTCAGTGTGTACCCCTGAAAAATCACGATTATAGATTTCATTTTACTGCTACTCTCTCTTCAAAGTCACTTTTAAGTGTAACTTTGCCGCAGAGGAGGTTAGGTCGGACCTCTGAATGAATATAGTCAACAGAAAGTCCTCACAAGTACAGAAACAGTGTGTGTGTCTGGGTGTGTGTTAGGACAATGGCTCTCTGTCTGTGTGTCAGCGGCGCTGTGGGAACGCCAGGAGATTCCACAGCGGACAGAAGAGATTCTCTACTTTCTGCCAACATCTCACTATGCCCTTATTTTTCCATTCCGGAAGAACTGTGGAAGATAAATATTGTTCACTCATTTCAACAAAGATTCTAAAATATGAACAAATGTCAAGTCCTTCTCAGGAGTGAAGACGATTAAAATGTTCCCCCATAATTTAAACAATCTGTCGAACGCTTAACACACTTTTTAAATTCTAGATCATTATCTTAAAGTGGACCTATCATGCTATATTTAAATGATATATTGTAGGGCTATACCTATATAAGGTATATTTATACGTTTCTGTTTTCAAAATACCAAACAGATCATGCATTTTAGCCATGCCTCATTTCGCTCTATGTGTTGTTTTCCAGCACTGTTTTTGCAGGGGGCTGATTCTGTGAGCTGCAGCTGACCACGCCCCCCTGCAGGAGAGGGGAGCGCGCTCTGAACAGCTGCTGGGCTGTCAGAAGAGGGGGAGAAAAATAGATCTCCGTCTTCCGTGTTTTATTATAGCCTATTATTATATAGTCGTTATTCATTTGTTTTAAAGCTCAATAAATAACAAAGAAGACCTTTGACCGGCACTTTTCTAATTTTGTCCGGAAGATTTAAACTTTAACGGACATCTTGACCGGCGAAAGAAACTGAAACTGAAACTCTGCCGCACGGTCCCCTCGTTCCTTGGAACTCTCTAAAATAGAGAGGGTTGTGTTTTCTGACACTTGGTGAGTTCCCTGGAACACCGGGGACACATATTCATGTATAAAAGACGTACAAAAGTGCATTTTGCATGATAGGTCCCCTTACTAAATAACTACCAACCTGTCACCTGACTTCATAACAAATAACAGCTGGGTTATACTTTAGGCTTTTTGTGCTGTAAACTGAATTTACAACTACAAATATAGTGTGTATTATGAATTTAAAGGGGCCGTATTATGCTTCTTGGGATTTCCCTTTCCTGTAGTGTGTTGGTTTTTGTGTGTGCGTAAATGGTCTGCAAAGGGTAAAATCCCCGTCTTCCCTCCAGAGGGAGTTTCTCTCCCACACACTCCACTCCCCCCCCCCCCCCCCCCTGCCTGAAACACCTCCATACACTTGCGCTTCTACTGGCTAGCGCTCCAACACATTGTACGTGATAGACTAAGGGGCAGGACATATATAAGCGGTAGACCAATCACAACAGAGCCGGACAGCTAACCAATGAGAGCAGACTGGGCCCTGGTTTCAGACAGAGGGTGAAAAGAGGTGGGCCCCTTTAATGCCTGTAGTGTCAAATAGTCGGACATAAATTGTTACCCATGTAAATAGGATTGGGTATCAAAACCAGTTCTGAATTCATAAGATTCCTTAAGAAACATTATATTCAAATCCTTTAAGAAATATTCCTGTAGGCAAAGATCAGACTGCACAAACACACAGGTGTAAATAATGTACATGACCTTAAAATAAATCTGCCTCTTTATTTTTTGGAACATTTTACTGCAGTTTTTTTAACCTTCAATAAACTAAACTGCAGCTTTGAACTGACCTCCCTTTTATTCAGCATCATGCTACCACATGTAATTGAAGCTTTATTTGCCAATAATCCGTTACTAAAAACAGTTATTTTGCGATACAACACCAAATACAAAGACCAAACACAGATACAAAAAATTGAAAAATCTAAAATCTTGAAAGAGACTTTCTGTGGTTCAGTTTCTGCATTTCTGAGTGTTATATGTCAAGTCTTTTGTATGATTTGAAATTTGAGGAAACAGGTCTGAAACAGCACACACACATACACGTACACATGATTGTATCTCTATTATGAGAGGAAAATTGGGTCTAAATAGCACAATACTAAATGCCTTCATTGTGAATCTGGAACAGAGTGTGTGGAGTATAAAGAGGGTGTGGAAATACCTGTGTGCTGCAGATTACAATCTATCATCCTCAGGCGAAATTAATAAAACCTCTCAGGAAATGAAGAGTCTGATTTATGAAAGACCTGATATTTACTGCCATTGTTCTTTTTTCAATATATCAGGGTATGTCATCTCAAAATGTAGAATGACTGTGAAAAAAAATAACTATTATTTGTTTGTCATCCCTGTAAATATTTGTTTGTCCTTAGTGGCCTGCAGAGTCAAAGTGAAATCTGTACATTTTCACAAATAACTAGATAAACCTGTGTGTGTGTGTGTGTGTGTGTGTGTGTGTGTGTGTGTGTGTGTGTGTGTGTGTGTGTGTGTGTGTGTTCAGACATTCCTGACCCCACTCTGAGCTCTCAGTCACACAACAAGGCTTCACTGGAAGCCTGTTTAATATTCAGTCCGCCACTCTTTACTACTGTGAAAAAAGTAAGTGTGTGTGTGTGTGTGTGTGTGTGTGTGTGTGTGTGTGTGTGTGTGTGTGTGTGTGTGTGTGTGTGTGTGTGTGTTGTGTGTGTGTGTGTGTGTGTGTGTGTGTGTGTGTGTGTGTGTGTGTGTGTGTGTGTGTGTGTGTGTGTGTGTGTGTGTGTGTGTGTGTGTGTGTGTGTGTGTGTGTGTGTGTGTGTGTGTGTGTGTGTGTGTGTATCCGTACCTCAAACTGGGGCCAGTTCATGCTCATTCCCGGCCCGTGGGTGTTCCTCCACCATCTGAGATCTTCCGTGTCATTGGCTACTTGGATGGTCTGACCAAGGTCCCGGTAGAGAGCGTTGAACCTATTGGACAAAGTGACTGTCAATCGTCACATCTACCGTACCGTACCCCCCCCCCCCCCCCTCCCCCTCCTCCTCCTCCTCCTCCTCCTCCTCTTCTGCCTTAAAAAATAGGTCATTGTAGACTTTAAATTCACATTTAAATCCCTCTTGTTTGAAGATTATCCAGTTTTTTCAATCTTTGTTCTTTTGTGTTGCTAATTTTAAAATAAGGTTTCTATATGTGATTGATTCATGGTCTTAGATTTGATGTTCCTCTGTTAACATGCTGGTCCTCTGATGAATTATCAGTGAATAAAATGTATTTTTGTATAATGACAAAGTGAAACAATGCAACAAAGGGAAAAGATGTATTGCAGTCACGAACCTGCAGAGAATTATAACATGAAACTGTAGCGCCCCTTGGCTTTTAGGAGCTTTAAAGGTTTGAGGCTGCAGCTGGCAACTTTAAAGTATCCGCTCAACAGGAGGGAGGCTGAGCAGAAAAGACGGTTAACAAAGTAGATCATTTAACAACTCAAGGAATGGTTCATTAGGAGTTGGTAGAAACCAAAAACAGAGCTAAAAAGAGAGAACACTTGTGAATAGCATTTAGCAGGTGGACACAAAGGTTCGTAATAAAGGATAATGTGGCTGGAAGCAACTGCAGCGTTGCGCTCTTTCTGAAAAACAATAATTGGCGTTTTAAAGCAACTCGGTGATGTATCTGAAAACACAGGACAGAGCCACTGGTGGAGAAAAGGTCAGCCTCATCATCGGGCCTGCCGTGTTATTAGGTTAAATAACCAGCTGGAAACACAACATTGACATATTATCCCACTATGAAGTTCTTGGCAAACAAATAGTCGTTTACACATTAGACCGACACAGTGCAAGCTTCTAATTCATGTCCATTGTTTGTGTCCATCTGATGAATGTTAGTCCAACAGATGTACGTCCTCACTTTTAGCTCCGTTTTTGGTTTCCACCAACTCCTGAGGCTAAGTACGTGTCCCTTTAGCTGCTAAATTCTCCAATAAGTTCACCAGCTAGTCTCTAACGTCTCTTGGTATTCGTAATTTCCTGCTCTTAACAGTGCTCATACACTTTATGTTAGATGTACTGCTGCCACTGTGTACTCTGCGGGCTGAGACTTTAAATTCCTGAAGCCTCCATTTAAAAAGGTGGAATTCCAGATAAGACTTATGTTTGTGCATATTTTTTGTCTGCATTATCAGCTCTGTGCTGATTTGTTACACTCAAGAGATGATATGAAGGAAAAACCTGCATCTTATAATATACATCCAACCTTTCTAGGAGCAGCAGGTAAATGACTGATGGCTGTTTGAACATTTTATGAAAAGGCAAACTCTAGGCTAAAAGTCAACTTTATAATTCACTGAAATATTACATTTTTTCTTTACATATCTCAAGGAGGTTTTAGGATAACCTTCTGTCAAAACGTACAGTATTCCCACTTAAGGTATGCTTCACAGTTGATGGACTTTAGATCTTGTTACTTTAAAGGGGCCCCTTTATGCTTTTTTGAGTTTTCCCTTTTCTGTAGTGTGTTATATAGGTTTCCAAATGTCCCTCCTGAGTCCTGAGGGAGTTCTCTCCCACACACTACTTGTTCCAAGAGCATTTATTTCAACTATCTTTACTCCAAAGACTTAATTAAATACGTTTTTGTTCAATATTTGGACAAAGATCATGTTGTACTTTACCAATCGTGGGTACTGTGGAAACAGTGGCTTGTTTAAATAGAATAAGAGGTCAATAGTTAATGGACAACACCCTGAGTTTTCTATTAACTCCTGTGTACATACCGTAGACCCAAGTTTGGACAAACACATTTTCAATGCCTTCGTTCTGAGTCATTGATAATGAAATAGCTAATCACTTCTCTTTCCTGATGGAAAAGTATGTATGTAAATATGTGTGAGTCTTACCCTTCTTTGGTGGACAGGTCGAGGTGTGTGTGGATGTCCAGGAGGACGTCTTTAAAGAAGCACAGCCTCTTACGCTCGGCCTCCTGGGTAAGGTCGAACACCTGCTCCATGTCCTCCATGTAGCGAGGGTTACAGCGGTTCAGCTCCTCCAGGGCCTTCGTGTAGCGCTCCTTCACCTGCAACACACACAAAGCACACACTCAGCTAATGTGCAACACTCTGACAACCTGAAGAATGACGAATAAACATATCAAAAGATTGCTGCCCCAGCCAAGTCTACTGTATTTAATGATCCAGCCAACAGGTGCTGAATAGTGTTAAACCACATGATTTCATATCTCAGTATTTAGCAGTTACTTTTCCTCAAAGTTTAATAAAGATAAACAAAATGTTTACCAGTAACTGTTATAATACTAGAATCAAACCCTCTCACAATCACATTAATGCTGCATTTCTGTCCGCCCTGCATGAGGGTCCCTCCTCTGTTGCTCGTTCTTTGTTAGATGTTTAGTTTGGGAAGTTTCTCCCTAACTAAATCACGGGTGTTAAAAGAGATGTTCTAGTATGATATAAAGATTGAAAAGCAGTTTAAGGCACATTTTTATTTGTGTAAGTGGGCTTTAGGAATGAAATTGACCTATTGAAGTACAGCATGTACATCTCCTTTAAAAATAAAATACTAAAGATAGTAATAATATGTTATATTGATTGCTTTCCGTCAAGTATTAAAGAGGCAGAAAAGGATAGGGACACTTTTTGCAAACTGGTTGTTGTTGTTGTTTCACATAGCTACAGTAGATAGTAACACACATGCTATATAGCAAAGGGTTATGAGAAATCTAAATAGCAGTATGCACAGTCAACATCCGGCATGCCAGATTAGCAGTAAGTAAACACTGAGTTGAAGTTTTGATGGATGAAAAACAAATCAAACGTCAACAGAAATACTATGTGGTCTCCTCTGAACACAAAGAAGAACAATAGAGCTGAAGAGGTGCTCTGATGTTTGTGGAATGCAGACTGGTTATGTGACTCCTGAATTGAGTTAGGTACAAAGTGCTTTTTCAGGTCTCTTTTTCCCAAACTTTGTCATGATATTGGATTTCATTTCCTTGTCGTGTATTTTGTCTTAGCATTTCCCAGTTTTGAGTTTCCTCTCTTCAGGACCTGAGCTTTTCCTCTTCTGTTGTGTTTTTGTGCAAAACAGCGAACTGTAGAGACAAGCCCAGTCTTGTTTTAAAACACAAAAACACACAGGTATGTTTTTTTCTGGACTCTCTGACACACCCAGACTCGTGCTAGTGGAGCTACGCATGGGACTGTGTGTGTGTGTGTGTGTGTGTGTGTGTGTGTGTGTGTGTGTGTGTGTGTGTGTGTGTGTGTGTGTGTGTGTGTGTGTGTGTGTGTGTGTGTGTGTGTGTGTGTGTGTGTGTGTGTGTGTGTGTGTGTGCGCTCTTTACTTTCTCTGCCTCCTCGTTGCAGCGCTCCACCCGGATCGTGAATTTGCGAACTTCCTCCTGCGACTTGGTCGGGTCGGCCTTGGCGTGCGTTTCCCTGGTAACCGCCGTCCACTCCTCCTTCCTGGCCTGATTGTATCCCTTCTTACCGGCCTCCACCTTGACACACACACACACACACAACGAAGCAATAATTGACTTTGGTAAGTGGCTACACTCAAAGTTGTATCCCTTCTTCATCACAAAGTTATTTCACACAGGGCCGAAAAAAAAGACAGAAAATAGCAAAGTGAACAGGGTCAGGTACAACAGTTTGATTCAATCGATTTAGTTGGATATTCATTTTACAAATAAGACAACACATTAGTTGATTAAATATATTTTGAAATGACACATTAAGAGCAATTGTATGTGTTAATGGTAAGGAAAGGTTCAGCACTTGAGCTACCAACAACAAAATTGTGTTTATTACCTGTTTTGCACACTCCTTTTTAAGGAGTTGTAAAAACTGGATTTATACTTGAATGTTTTGCGCTGAGGAGCTACACTGCAAGTGTAATATTGAAAAATTGAACCTTCATCGGGGCCATAGATATTTTTGATGCTGGTGATGACATTAAAATATGAAAAAGGGGCCCTATTATGCTTTCTGGGTTTACCCTTTCCTAAAGTGTGTTCTATAGGTTTCTGTGTATGGTCTACAAATCCTCCAGAGGAGTTTCTTGAAAAGCCTCCATTGGACTCCTTTGTTTAATTCGGTAACATAATGACATCACTATCTAACACTTGCGCTTCTATTGGCTAGCCTCAATCAGGCTGGGCTCTGGTTTCAGAAAGAGCGTGAAATATTAGAGACATTTTTGACATTAAAGCAAGGAAACATTACAGATTAGAGAAACAAATATGAACCTGAAATTGAGCATATAAGGGCCCCTTTAAGGAAAGACCGTCAGTAGTCTTCTTCTTTATAGTTATAAGTCAACAACACAATTACCATGCAAACCTCCTTACATTACTATACATGTATAATTGTAGCTCACAGTCACCCTGTTTCACAGAGTAAATGAAAGAAGGTGGGCAAGGTTATTGCAGATTATTGAGCATGAGCCACCCAGAAGAATTACCACTGAGTCTTTAAAGGTAGGGTAGGTAATTTTGGAGAAACCAGCTCGAGTGCGCTAGAATTTGAAAATACACAGCCGGAAAAAATCTGCCACTTCCTTACAGAGCCCCTCCTCCAACACACACGAACGCACACATGACCAATGAGGGCTCGAGATAAGTTTGTGCACAGATGGAAGGCTGACAGGCAGGTAAGCCATCCAGTTATTTTAGCCGGGCCGGCTAAAATGATTGGTCGTGCTTTTTACAGTACTACGGCTTCCACAGATGACATTTTTTAATGGATTTTTTGTCAAAGCACTTAAGATATTCATTGCTATCGGGATGTTAAGAGCATTCCATGGAATATAACAAAAAGTGTACCTCGAGCCGGTTTCTCAAACTTACCTACCCCACCTTTAAATCTCGCTTTACTTACAACCGATAGACAACGCTCACCTCCTTCAGTTTTCGGACCCAGGGTTTCTGTGCTTTGCGGAAGCCGTCGTCTGCGTCCTTGGTCTCCCTGAAGCCTCCTATCATCTGCTTGTGGTAGGCGTCCTTCTGCCAGTTGCGCACCATCTCGCTGTCCTCCGCCACCAGGCGCTCCCGCAGCTCCAGGTGCAGCTCGCTGAGCCGGTCGGCCGCCTGCATAAAGGCGTGCCACGCTTTCTCCAGTGTCCCATACTGAGGACCTGAGGGGCAAGAGTGGGGAGAGGAGACACACTCATCTCATTTAGCTTCAAACTAAAAATATAACGAAAACAATCATCCTTGTTGGTTGGTTTGTTGGTGTTGATTTTGGTCAAGGTTAAATTGTAAATCAAATCAGTGAATCTGTCAGATTTTGGTGAAGCCCCTGATTTGGTTTTAGCCAATGCTTTAAAAAAACACTTCCTGTGAATCAGTTTAGCTTAAAACCTAACTAATTTATGTTTACATAATGTTCATATTTTTGTTAAAAGTAGTACTTTTCCACATTTGAACTTAAAATAAGCATAAATATAATCTTTCCTTCAAAAAAATAATATTCTCATGTAAAAATGTGCCTCAATTCATTGATTAGTTGCAGCAAAAGCTGACACTTTGCAGTTAGAACAAATCAATTGTTTGCAACCCTTGGTAGTGGCATAAATCAAACACACCAAAGGTCAAATATCAAAGTAGTTTTAGGTATAACTTTTCAATTTCTACTGCAGCCCTTACTGATGGGTGATTTCCGCTCACCTTTCTCCACGACACCCCTCCACCTCTTGGCCCAGTCACTCAGCTGCAGAGCGTAACCCTTCTCTATCTTCGCTCTCTCCTGGAAGCAGCTGACCATATCATGACACAGCCGGTGGCCATCGTCTATCCGCTTCACCGTCCTCTTGTAGTTTCCCGGCTGCACAGGAAACGCACACACACAATGAGGACATAGACTTAGACTGAAGTTTCGTAGTGCATTCTAATCATTGTTGCTCTGTCAGTTCGATGCTTGTTACCACATTAGTGTGGCAAAATGTCAACAGGGCAGGATGTTTAGTAGACCAGCGATGAAAGATATACAGAGAGTGAGTGTAAGGTTGAAAGTATGTCGTTTTTCCAGATGTAAGCCGGCAGTCAGTCAGCAGGGACTCATTATGTGTCTGTGTCTCTATCTAAACACCACCTCCGGCTGCTCCTCTCTCAATGGCCTCATCAACACACAAGACTACGATTATCCAGGTTTCCAGACCAGTAGCAAATATATTAAGGATTTTATTACTGCTGTTCTAAATAACTAATTTGGTCACCAGAGTGGGACGTCCATTAATCACAGGGTTGGTAGTTCATTTTCCCAAGTTCCTCCCTCTCCACATGTGGAGCGTCCTTGGGCAGGATACTAAACCCCAAATTGCTTCCAGCATGTTAGCACATTAACACCATGGTAGCTTATTGGCATTTGAATAGGCAAAATGTAAGGAACATGTGGGAACATAAAACCCACATGAAAATGCAGCAATTATGAGTGAGCAAGCACTACCAGTCAATAGCATAATTAAATAATTCATTTTTCCTTGAGTTTTCTCTTGATGTAAGAAATGAGTGTGCACGTGTGTTTCCACTGTACCTCCCAGAAGCTGTCCGAGCTCCCCAGGTCGCTGAGGTCTCCATTGGAAGACATTGTGGGGTCGGCCTTACAGCACGGAATGGTGGCGGCTACAGAAAATACTGCAGAGAGAGGGAAAATACCATTAAATACTGTACATACAGCTGGTTTCAGGTGAAACATTCAACACTTTTGACAAGCTGAAATCCAATCATAGACTCATGTTAACCTAGAGGGGAGGACACCAACAATTTTGTTTTGTTATTGTAGCAAATTTTACTCAGTTACGAGCCAGTATACTCTACATTTAAATATTGCTGTTTCAAGAGCCAACTTATTTAAGGGTCATGTTTGGGTTTAAGCTGTCACAATTGTGTGTTTTTTTTACTGCGTGTGCCAAAGGGTGTCTATGTGCTATTAACTTGGGCACAGGTATTTAAGGTGTGTCAGGTCACATGATTGGGTGTGTTTGCTATAGATCTCTTTCGAAGAGCATATGGTTAACACCGTAGCGTGAGAGTTCGTAAGTACCGCCATGATTGTTTGGCCGTCAAAGAAATGAATATTGATGTATATGGACTCACTCTACTTTTATGATGCACACAAAGACAATAAATGGATTGTATTGTGCTCTGAAAAGGGGTCTACCAATTCTTCATTGCAGCAAAAAAACTAACTGTATCCCACACAGTATAACCCATCAGCCAGGTCTATAATACAATTCCATGGAAGTTTTATTATTAGGCTTAAGCTCCTGGATCAAAAGTTCAAAAGTAGACAAAGGACATACCATTAAGTCCCCCTTTCTAAGATGCCAGTAGTATTACAAAGATATACATTAATTAAGGTATGACAATCAGACATAGTTGGAACAATATGAAATTACATTTTATAAACAACCATGTCTTCGTGACCTTTTAGTCTCACTGTACACAGCTCTACAGTTTCAGCCTCTGGCAAACTGCAGCTCCACGTCAGTCGACACAGACACTACTGAGACCTCACCGCTCGCTGCCCACATGGCTGCTTTCTCCACGTTGCTGCCCAATGTTTCCTCCTACGAACAACTGGGCTGTGTGTCCGTCTAACACTGATGCCCGCTCTCACACACACACATCCTCTGTTACTGAGGCAGGAATCTGTGTCAGCCAGTCCACAATAGATCTCATTCATCAGAGAAATGCCGCGCAAACATTTGTACAGCATAGTCTCAAATATTAACTCACGGATACAAATAATGTTAAACTTCATTACGCCTCTGCCTCTTCATGTTTGAAAAACTTCAACGGCCAAAAGAAGATTCAAAATAACTGTGTGTTTAAAGGTGCCCTGTGTTGTTTTCTTGTAAAAAGGAAAAAAGAAAAAGAAAGAAGAGGTGGTCCTTAAACTAATAGTTTGTGTACGGCCTTTTCGCACAATTCATATTTAATTAAACTCCAAAATGAGGAGAATGCTCTGCATTGAATCTGCCGATGAACCCTATCAATAGTTCAATGCGACTCTACCTCACTACACGTCACACAACTTCCTGTGGCAGACACAACAAAATGTCGAGGACGCTTGCTTGGTAGCACATGTCTTCCGAGTCACTTGCTTCAGAAGCGAGGCAAGAATCCTTCCTAGCCTCGGAAAACGAAGAATGGTGGAACAGGCTAACAGGTGTGCGTCATATGCGAGGCCCCGCCTTAAATGGAGCGCGATTTCCGCCAAAGATTTGGAAATTGGTCCGTGCGCAAAGCATTGTGGGGATTTTAAGACCGCGGAGTCTACTCATGTGCAGCCTCGAAATGTTTCGCTACGAAGTACGCCGGCCTCGGTAGAATTCCAAGTATGCTGGACATTGGAACAGTCCTTCGGCGGGACTCGATGACGTAGTATGCTTGAAATAGTGGCTCTGGAGCAGCCTTCCTCGACATTGAGAAATACCCACTGTCTGTAAGCATGTACACTTCCACTGCAGGAATCCCATCAGCACGATCAAATATATCCACACTCAATCACCACAAATACAGATGACTGACTGATGATAATGGTTTACATATCCATGCTTTCACTATAGAAAATATGGCTTTCTATGAAATAAAAAACTCCCTGCAGATATTCAGTCCCCTGACTGGGAGGCTTTTAGTGAGAAACACATTAGGGAAATGATGGGTTTAGAATTAACATGAAAGTAACAGAGTTAGTAAGAGCAGAACATAAAAAAAGAGCGTCTTCCTACTAAAATATGTTGTATCGGTATATTTTTTAGGAGCAGATATCATAATTTTTGAATAAAGAAATAAATGACCATCTCCTATAGAAGGTTGTTTAAAAAATAAAAGGTATTTATTTCCTGGAAGATGAATAAATAAAAGCGTCACACACTATGTGATATTTGCTTACACCCGTCATGACAAACATTTGATATAAGTGCTATATAGATATTATCTATTAGTCAGAATCTCAACAGTCATCTAAGCTAAATGTGAATATACCTCTAAATGGTCAAATACACTGAGCATTTAAGAACAACTACCAGAGAAGTGTTAAACAGAGTACATTGAAACCTTAATATGTTACAGTTTTATCACACTGCCAAGCCTTTTGGTCTCCAACAGCAAAGCTTCACTAGACAAGCCTGTGAGACGTTCCTGGTGATTTTTCCTCCCTATTTTTCACAATGTTCTGTGTCACTGTTAATGACTAGTTGACTCCCAAAATAACAGCAGTGGGCGTAGATGTGCACTGGGAGGAGGTTGGTGCTAAATTAGATGTCGCGTACAACAGTATCCTTGGTGAGCTCTGCAGGGAACAATGTGGGAGTGAGTCTAAATAAAGTCTACAGTTATCCCGAATGATACATCTGCAAAGTCAGGAGGAGGACTTGCACTTACTTGTGCTACTGCACATTGCTGATACTGGGCGGAGACCTGATTAAAAGAAATCAAGTTAAATATGTGTTTGTCCGTCTGTCTGTGAGGCACTGCCTGCATCTAATCCCCTTTAGACACCTGAGCTCTAATTTTCTCCCTGCACTTTAGAGACTGTAAAGCACAGGTGGAGGCAACAGAGGGATTGCCGTGTGTGTGTGTGTGTGTGTGTGTGTGTGTGTGTCATAGGTTTATGGTAAGTATGCTGCCTGTGGAGGTATCTGCCACCAGCATGCTAGAACATGAGTGAGTATGAGAAAACTGACTTTGCCATTGACCGCTAATTACTGCTCCTATATCCTACAAGACAGAAGTGTGTGTCTCAGTGTGTGAGTGTATTTGGGTGCGGCTCATTATAAGCAAGTAAGTTTGGAAGCCTGCACTTGTATTATGTCTATACCTGCTGGAGTTCTGACAAAAAACTGACAAAATAAGTAAAACTGATGAAAGTCAACAGACCAAACTACCATTAAATACAATACTGATATTTACTAAGTAGAGCTTGAAAGCATCAAAGTAAATGGACTGTATTTATATTGCGCTTTAGCCAGTCTTTATGACCCCCTCTTAAAACGCTTTACATACTATAAGTCATCATTCACACAGAACAACCTGCCATTTGCTCAGGTAAGCTAACATACACACATTCACACACCATGCCAATCAGGAGCAACTCGGGGCTAAGTTTCTTGCCCAAGGACACATCGACATGTGGACTGAGTCGCACCATCATTTATGGAACATCGATCACCAGTTGCTAACATCTAACGTTAACTTTCCCACCGTCAAATACGGAAATGTTGTTCACAATGTAGCAGTATCAGGGAAAAAACAAGTGCGTCTACGGGACACTCCTCAAACTAAAGTAGTAAAAATTACGCTTTTGACATGATCGGACTAGATCACAGCTCTTCAAAAGGTGGTTTGTGACAGCCAGTTGGTCCTTAGCCAACCAAAATATAGCTTTTCCCAAGATTAAAATATGTCTGACACTCATGACACAGGAACACAATCTGAACACATTATCCACAAAGATATATCAAACTATACCCTAAAAATAAAACATTTACACAACGTTAATGATAATCTATCTGTTATGCATCCTCATCCAATCATGTGAGCTAGCTAAGATTTCCATTAAGGAAAACAGTTAAGGATTAGAAACCAAGACAAACTACCCTAATGACCCACCTCACTACCTGGTAAAGAACACCAGGTTAGGTCCTAAGTGAGGTTAGCTTTGGTCTTGTTTCTAAAGGTATAAAGTTACAACAATATGCAGGCAGAGCTTATTTTATGCAAATAGTGAAATATAGCAGATGAGAGCTGGTGACATCAATTGTCCTGAGTCCCGACAGTCCCATAAGCTGTGACGTGTATAGTTACAGTATATGTGTACCTGACACAGTTTACTGCACTGGCATGACTCAACCGAAAAGGGAAGAAAGACAACAAGATTTTACACCGATCTGTGATGTGGCTTGTGTTTTTTTAAGGAGATAATGACACAGTGGGAGAGTAAATATACTTACATTAAGTCATTTGAATATATTAATTGAAATACTGAATACAAAATTAGCTTTTAAATCCTTTAATTCCTTAAAAGGCTCTTGGGCGTTGAAGGGCGGCTGGGCTGAGGACCATCCCACCATCTGTTCGTGGTGAAAGTGCTAGTGTTTTTCAAAGATGTTTACATTACATTGGGTTCAATCCCCTCGGTTTAACCAAAACACAGTGCACTGACCTAAGACCGTCCTGGAGGTCAGGGACCTGCTGGAGCTGCAGACAAGTATAGTCAGAGGGCGGAGAGGGGTATGAGAGTATGTAAGACACATGAGAACCGACGTCTAACAAAAGGTCATCAATTATCAAGATAATATGGTCTCTCGACAGGACATTATCTACGACAAAAAAACATTAAAAAAAAATTCTATTCGATTTTTGTTTTTGCCTCAAGAATTATTTTATCGTGTGGCCCCTGGTTTCTATTTCATATATCCACTAACCATTTGAAAGCATCCAGAAGCTACAGGTATGTCCTGCATCCAAAACTGTGCAGCAGACGGTCAGGCCCGACTGACACAGGACAGGAGGAGCATTGAAAGACGAGAAGAAGTGATGGAAGGAACGAAGAAAGACGAGAAGAATAAGACAGGAAAGCTGGTGACGGATAAGTGAGAGAAGTGCAGGTGAACACAAATGAAGTTAAA